CCTGCTGAGCAAGGAGCCCGATATGGGACTCGATCCCGGGACTCCAGGATCATGACCTGAGCTGAAGGCAGTCGCTTAACCAACTGAGCCACCCAAGCGCCCCTTCTCGAACTTTCTTTCTTGTCCTCAGAAGGAAATGATAATACTATTTATCTCACATGAGACCTGCTAGAGCCTAGTACTAAATTAAGAACAGAATCTCAAACTTAATCCCCAGAGAGTGGCTGGTTCAGTTCTGCTCCATGATAATGAAGGGTGCTATCCACCTTGGCCAGACATCTCATGCAGATAAGTACCATGCAGAGTAGGGCACAGAGGCCTCACATTCTGTAGGTCTGTGCTTGAAATCATTGGCAACAGGCCCAGCCCCAGCCCGCCACCTGTATTCCCCATAGCTCTTAAGGACTAGCCGCCAAAGCTGAAACCTGAGGGTCCTTCTAATTCCTGTCCCTCCCTCAATGCAGTTCTTCCAGTCCTATCTCCTAAATAGTTCTCCCATCCTCCCTTCTTCCTCTGTACTTCTGCCTGAATTAGACCCATAACATCTCTTGCCAGATGACTTTGGTACATTTTGTCCCTACCTGTCACCACCGCACTGCTCAAATGATCTCCCTAACTGAGCACCCAGTACTCTATAGCTCCTGTGTACAGCCTTGTCCAGCTTCATCTCCTGTTCTCACCACCCCAAGATTCATTCAACAAGATTTTTTGACTGTGCTCTGTGCTTGGTGCTGGTGATTCAGCAGTGAACAGATTAGTCTGTTCCCGTGGAGCTAACAGTCTGGTTAGCTTAGACAATAAACAAACGAACAGCCACCTATCAGGTGGTGATGAGTGGTATGGAGGAAAAGAAACTAGGTGTGGGGAGGTGTGTGCGATGACAGGTGGTCAGGAAAGGGTAAAGTGATGCTGAAGCAGGGACCAGAATGGAGGAAGGGAGCAAGTGCTGAGACTGTTGTGTGTGTGGGTGGGTGTATTTATGGACCTTTGGGGGTAGAACATTCTAGGCCTCTGGGACCTCCCTGGTGTGGGCCTGTGCCTGGGTTGTTTGAGGAAAGGCAAGGAAGCCAGCGTGGGTGGAGGGGAGTGAGGGTAAACCAGAGAGCAGCTGAAAGAGGTCAGCCGATGGCTCCCGGAGGTCCATTCCCTGTGAGTACCAGACTGGATGCTGCAGTTCACACCCACAGATCTTTCTCCCAACCCAATTCCACAGTCACCGAGGGCGGGGATTTGTGAGCACTTACCACATCTCTTTTGAACAAAAATGCAGATGCGTGAAGTATAAGGTCGACTGCATGAAGAACAGGTCTCAAAGGAGCTTAGTCTAACCGGGGAAGATTCTAACAGGGCTTTTCAAATTACACATCTCATTGCAGAGAAGAACTGCAGGCAAATCATTTCCTCTGTTGGGGCCTCAGGATTCTTCTTTGAGAAATGGGATTATCTGCCTTGCATGTGGATGTATGACTTTCTGAAGTCCTGGTACAAATAAAACACGAAATTCCTCAATGTCAGTGACAAGGGTCCACAGAAAGGTCAGGAAGGCTGAGAAATCTGAGTTGACTCTCACTTGCTCTTCTTTTTAGAGCAGTGTCCAGCACAGAACTGTCAGCCCTGGAGAACATCTGTAAGACTATCATAAAAGAAAAGCAACCTTTCGAAAGACTGGAAGTCAGCAAGGAAGTACTCCTCGAAATGTTTAAGGTAATTTCAGGAAACTCTTTAGAATAAGAAAACCTTTTGCCAGGAATATTAAAAATGATTCATTGACATAGCTTTTTCTTTTTTAAACAAATAATTGAGTGTTGCTTGCCACATTGTTCCAGTCAGTTTGGCAGCCTACTGTGAGGTTGTCACTAGTCACCCAATGTGATATGTCCCTACTATGTCCTGAAAATTTTAATGCAGTTATACGTAGGTGAAGGACCAGGTGATAATTTTCATGTGTGTGTTTATAAATCTGATTAATTTTGAGTATTGTTAATATTTTGACTACTAAATTCAATAATACTTTTGCTTTCTCTTTATATTGTTTTGACCAATGTATGTAAACATATTCTTAATTTAACTTTTATTTAGTGTGTGAGCAGGGGTGGGGCATGGGGGAGGGGAGGGGCAGAGGCAGAGAGGGAGAATCTTTCTTTTTTTTTTTTTTTTT